GTCTTGTTTCACTAACACTGTATCTAAATTTGTGACAGAAATGCAGAAAAGATCTTCGGTTTAAACGTGTAAAGGTTGACGTAAGCGGAATCATTTTAGCCAATGTCCAATGTGCATCTTCTGACAAATTTACACAACTCCAAGTAAATTCTCAGGTCAGCAGCTTGATCAGAAGCAACTAACGCCAAAGATCATCTGGCAGTGTGAGATGGGAAGCAAGTCGGTCTTTAGCCTTCTGATCGAGCTCCTGAGAGATCGGCAGCATTGCAATATTTTCAAATGACTTTAAGGCTGCAAACACTCACAGGTCCTTTAATGCAGCAGTTCCCAAACTTTTTTTAATCTAAGCCTCCCTTTGTGGACTGTGTCACTGCGCCCCCATTGCTTCCTTGATCCCTCGTCCCCAGTCACCCCTTTTTAATTTATGAACAAGGACCATGTCTTTCCAGAACCCTGTCCAGAACTTCCTCCACAGCCATCATTGACCAGCACATACAAAAAGCTCCGTCCTGTTCTATGTCCTTGCAGATAACTTGTTAACTAAACACAATATGGCTGTGAATTGTGAGTGTCTGGCAAGTATGATATTGACCATATTTAAACCAGTATCCCTTTTGTATATATGACTGAAGCATTTTCAATAAACTGACAACGTAGAAATACAACTCTACAACGTCCCAGTTTAAGGATCAATGCTGCGGTGTACAATGCTCAACGACATAACTGAACAAGTGACCGAGGTGATTGAGAAAATGGAAAAAAGGTGAAGGTGCATGTATGCACTGTGACAGATAAGCTGCTTATTGTGCCTTTATAACTTCAGTGCCTTTACAGAAACCAGCAAATGCACTCACTTTTCACAGTTTCACAACAGCTCGCCAATTTCTAGTCTACAGTTCTCACTGCAGAACAGAACGATATCCGTGTTTCCCATCCACAGTCTACGTGTTTGCTACGCTGTTTTTGTACATAAAAGCACAAACAACTGAGCTTTGCTTGAACCACGTGACAACAGTGAGCTTTGGGATTTGAGTGCTTTTTTGTGGTTGAAACTCGTTACGTGTGATGCCCTCTTTTGCCTAATCGTCTACTGTACGCACTCTCACGACAAAAAGACAAAAGATTCTGAATGCTCTCCATTTTCAAAGATTTCATAAGTCACGCGATGCACACCCAGCTTTAGCTCCACACAGGATGAGGCTTTTCTGAGAGTTAGAGTCCATGCTTTAATTATGGGTTTAATAAGTGAATGTGGCACACAACATGGTTATTTACAAGACATTTAGGTTTGTGTACTCAGTTTAACTCCGATCATAATTAAAACAACACTTTGATGAATCTGTTTACAATCTACGTTTAAAAAAAAGAAAAATAAAACACTTTCCTTAAGGAGATATGCCCTGTTTAACTGTACTGATCATTTTGTTTAAAGATGAAAATGAACAGAACCAGGGCACCCAGGGTAACCTAGCAACCTGGGTGCTGTTTCGTGTCCAGTTCAGCAATGTTTTTACCCAGGCAAAGACAGTCTGGCCTATCAGTCTATTATGAGTGTGCACTCACTAGAGTATGAAATCAAGACGCCATAAATAGAGAGATTTAGTACAGATTATTATTCGTTCTTCACTGGCTTTTGCTTCTACAAGACATATTCTTGTTTCCTTGGCAAATGCTTTGGAAATGAGTCAATAGCTAAACAGGTTTATGTCAATATAGATCTGGTGTGTTTCATACTGTACAAATAATGTAATAATAATTACATAATAAGCTGCACGGCATGGATAAAATTTCTTGATATTTGATGAACGGTTCTTGGAGAGCTACAGTACTGTAGAACACATAATTCATTAAAGGTTTGACAGCATGTGGAGTCATGTTGTGGACATATTATCATCAACCTTAAATCAAAACTGACCTTTTTTACCTTGTAAGTTCATGTTCCTGGTCACAGCAAGCACAAGTCATTATGTCACTTAAAAGACGAAATTCTTGTTCATCAAAATGTCACGACTTTTTTTCATCTCTAAAACAGAATGGAAAGTAATATTAACCAATATCATGTTTTACCAAGAGAGGCAAAATGATATAGGAATTATATCAGTATCGGCAGATATTTGTTAAAAAGAAGTGGACAGATGTTTAAATTTGACTAATATTTCAAACAAATATTTGCTCATGTATTAACTGTGCTTGTGAAGAGCAGAATGTTTAGGTGACGCTGAGCTACTGCGCTTAAATGTCGTTCATTTATTTTACTGCATTTTTAATCTCATACTCCCATTCAAGGTGGATTAGTTTTACCAGAGGAGGTCTGGTAATGCTATTTGTAAGGGATTCCACTGGCCAATTCATAGACGAAGTATCCATGTCATTTGTCCAAATTACTTCAAATAACCTAGATCGAAAAATCACAGCCCGGACCATTACTGCAGTGTTAAGATTAGAATTAAATGGATCCAAACAAAAAAAATTTAATTCCAGAGAAAACCAGATAGAACAGCATTAGGCTGGAAAGGTGGGCTGTCACAGGACTGAAACTGAGTGGCCTTGTGAGAAGTACCTTCACATCTTTCATTTCATTCTCCTTCTAATTAGCCCAAAAATGTTTTAGATAACAGCAGATTTGCACTGAACTTGACAATAAAGGAACTGTGCCAAGTCGAGCTCTATTCTACCCATTAGCCTTGTCTCCTGGTGACCAAAAAACAGAGGTGCCATTGCCAATTACCAGGATTTATTTTTACTTTACCACAAGGTTTATTTGAACAGGACTACTATTACTGAAGGAGTGCCAAGTCTGATGAATTATAGAGGGCAAAATCTGTGAAAACTACAGATTCATACAGGATTAAAATCACAGACCTCATTAGCAATCACTCAAATAACCACAGCTCGAATCAAGCTCCAATAGAACTAGAATAGTGAACTAAAATAGAATAGTGTTTCATTTCTCTGTAATGCTGATGGACTTAGCTCCAATTTCTACATTTTATAAATGTTTATGTATCGGCATTCGCAGAGACATACACAAAAAATATAACAACAGCCCACAGTTCTCGTATCGGTGCATTACTAGTTTCACCTCCCCCTCTTTCTCCCCCACCTTTCACTGAGCGAAAAGGCTCAGCAAGCTTAGAGACCTTTCCTGATACCGTGTTTCACTCAGACGTATGTCATGGTACAGAAAGATAAGCATTATTATTTATGACTCACGCTGACTATAAACAAAGGAAACATCTGCTGGATGTAGAAACTCTTGATTTTGTCATCACACAAAGAAAGTTTTTCGCTCCTTTTCAACAAAATCACACGTAGCAATTCACCTATGACAAGCTAAAAAAAATCTCAACAAAATATACATGCAGAGTGTGTTTTTAACCAAATCACACTTTTACAGGGTCAGATAAGATTTCTTTAACATTATCAGCTGCAACACAACAAAATTAAACTCCCTGTTCAACACAACTCGCCCACATTTCTTTAGAAAGATGTTTCACATTTATGAAAACAGTGCCAACACCATCCTTCGTCAGTCAACTCACAAATGGAGAGTAGTTTAATCAAAAAAAAAATCTTTGTGACTTATCCAGTGACTCAGTCCAGAAGAACTGACAGTCCATTTGACCCACTAGAGATTTCAATTCATTCAGACACAATAATGAAGTACCATTATAATAAAGAAAACTTACAATACTCAATAATATTGAACCTTGGCACAGACCTAACAGTTAGGTCAATACTGTTAGACAGCTACGATTTCACACTGAATTGAACCAGTAACAGTCACATCATCACTCCGAATAGAGCCAATAACAGTGAACTGATCTATGAAATCCCATCAAGACTGATTTTGGAAAGTCTAGCATCCTTCAGCATCATCACACTACTTGGCCTATCTGAAGTCTGGAGCATCCTTATGTACTTCTGGACTCTAGAAAGTCTTGTTAATATGTGGTCAGTCCAGAAAAAAAAAAACAGCTAATCCTCATGTGTATAAAATATAACACTCAACATACCAAACATCTAAATCTATAATCATGTTTGTGTAATAAAGGTATTAAATGTACATTAAACACACTGGATGGCTTTAAAGTAAATGGCAGCACTGCACTGACCGTGCCATGTCGTCTATTCACTACTGTCTCTAAAGCACACAGTTCATCTGTAAGCATCACACATAGCATAAGCTGAAATTGTGCTTTTCGGACATAAACCATCAGGAGCTTTCTTCTATTTTGCTGTATTTGTACACGAACAATCGCTTTATATAACTGGCGGACAGTTACAGCTACAAACAGCAAGCAGATCAGTTCAGCAGAAACACTGAACAGCACAGAAATACTTCATATCGTCATTGAAACTGAGTTCGGCACTTGGACTGCAAGAGTGAGGCTTTCATACACACAGACATACATACATACAAAAAAATTAAAACATGAATGAGCTGACTTTTTGCATTTGTTAGATAAGCTGCATAAACGTTTACAGTGATGTGTAACACATGATTCACTGAGTTGAGTGACCTAAAATGTGCCCTGTCTTCACCTCTCTCTCCATCAAAGATGAGACACTATGGAAATAAACACAGCTAACGGTTAACATTAGCTAGTTAGCTTGGTTAGCTACTAGGAGTGAGAATGAAGTTCGCAGCATATTCATCATCCTAATGAATATTCATCGTCCTAATGACATTTAACAGGCAACAGTGAGTGAAGGGTGTAGGAAACCAATCTAGCTAGCTTACTTACACGGCTGGGTAGGTGAATGTTGACCTTTTTAGCTACGCTGTTTCAAGCTAGCGAGTCAGCAGAGATTGCTAGCTAACTAATTTGATTTAGCGACCACTGTGAGCAAGTTAACCTTAGCTTTAGCTACGGCTCCAGTAAGCAAGTTACTGAAATGGGTTAGTTCCCCGGGTTTCGTGACTAACACCTTGCTAAAGCTGAACACATACAGACAAGACACGCACATGTCACTGCTTTTCGATTTCAGCAACTTACCTGCCTCTACGCGTTCATTCAAAGTAGAAGTAACGCGAAAGTCCACTGTTTTCTACCAAGACCCGACTCCGGCCGGCGGACTGGGGTTAGCGTGCTGTATTTGTGGTGGCCGACTAGCTCGGTGGCGGGCACGGCTAACGTTGGCTAGCGAATTTATTGCACAAAATTATGACAGCAGTGGGAAATGAGCGTTAGCCTATTGTAGCTAGTGAGCTAGCCTTCATCATTATAAATGGCTGGTGTGTGTTCAAACAGCTAAACGCATTTTGCTATTTGTACATGGATCTTTATGTGTACTGCCAGTAACATCCGACAGCTACCCCCCTGCGTTCCGGGCCCGGACCCGCTGGCTAAAACACGTTAGCTTGCAGCTGATGGTTAATGCTGTTAAATTAGCTGGCTAACATCTCGCTAGCTTTCTGCTCGCTTACGACCCCTCAGCCTGTCAAATGCGCTCGCTGTGTGGAGAGCAGAGCAGCGCTGGGGGAGGGACCGGAGCGCAGGAGGGAACCAAAGTCAATCCTGCCAGCCGCTGCTGGACACTTTAAATGAACATAACACGCAAAGAGATTAGATGGACGCATCGATAGATGGACGATAGAAAGAGAGAAACCCAAAAGCGCCCCTTTAGTCTCTGTGCTGTGCGTGACTCTTCTACGCGCCCTGTTTTGCATAGACGCTCTAATCTGCCCCCATTTGTTTACGACCGCTTATCCAGTCATCATGAATTCAGTGCTGATTTTTAACACTGACAGAACTTGTGCAAAAACAGCCATTACGGAGTGGACGCAATGAAACTTGTATCAAGTAATGTTCACAGGGTAATCCGAAAACAGTATAATTTCCCTTAAAGGGGAATTCCACCCACTTTCCAAAATTTCATCATTATAGTCAGGATGTAAACAAGGTAATTCAGAGTGGTTTGATTTGTAATGCTCCATCGTGGGAAATTTGCCAAATCAGATCAGACCTGTGCCTTTAGGTTGTAAAGCAAAATAGTTCCCAGAGAAAGTCTTTTCCCCACTATTTCAGAAGTCGGGTTCACTCTCATTTTGGATAGTAAATAAAATGGTATTGTATGACACTGTAACGACAATGGGCCTCCACCAATATCTAAAGTGTTTTCTTAAATTTGTTCTTCAGAAAGGTCTTAAGAAAAAGTCTACATCAGACTTATGACGTGTTCTTAAATCACAGAACTGTTTGCACCTTTGTGAACTTGAGTGTGTGTAGATTCTGTTCTTACCTGATAATAGATCCCAAATAAGAAAACATTAATGACTGTCAGAATCTTCATGAAAACTGCATAAGTGGGCTTTGAGAAGAAATTTCTTCTTAAGAACGGTTGGTGAATGAGGCCCAAAGTTTGCACTGTAGACATTGCAACCCCTGGTTCTCATCGCCACCACTGAAAAGAAATCTGGTGTTTCTCTGCAAGTAACCATTTCACATCAGAACACTTTGAATGCCTTTGTTTGCATCTCAACATTTACATCTCAGAGAATTTTTTTGAAAATTTGTGATTCCCCTTTAATCTTCTGAGGCGTTACAGTGCAGTAACTAAATGGATGGTGAACCACATTCACACATTGTTTGCAATGAAGTCAAACAAGGTTGAATTGCAGAACGTCGCTTTTAATTTGAGAGTATTTATGTTTGTATTTAGTTAACCACAGGAATTGCATCCTCTTAGTCAGCACCTGCATTTCAGGAGACCATAAGTAATTGCCAGGATGAACACCTTAAATTAAACTGGCTGCAAACACTTGGTAACGATAACTGCTTGAAGTCTGTGACCCATAAACACTACTGTAAATCTTCTCTGATGATGCATTGGCAGGCCTGTAATGCAGCCATTTTCACTTTGTGCTTAATTCGGGGGCTTTTATCTACTAGCGTCGTCTTCAGAAAGTGAAATACATACTGAACGGGGTGCAGGTTTGGTGTCGAGTCAAGAGTCTACTTTTAGGCCCTGAAAAACTCCATAGTTGCTTTAGCAGCCTGTTTTGTGTGTCTTGATTTCTTTTTTTTTTTTTGATTTTCTTGATTTTTAGCATTATAAAAGCCTGCTTTGCTGACACTGACATTTCTGTGGTCTTCATGTTGAGATAGAGCAGCAACAGACATTTCTGTGGTCCTCATGTTGAGATACAGCAGCAACAGACATTTCTGAGGTTCTCGTGTTGAGAGATAACAGCGACAGACTCTAGATCTAAATGCCTTATCTAGAATTGACTCTAGACCTTAGATAACTCTCTTGTGCTGAACTATCGATGCACTGTCACACAGCTGGCCAAAAAACAACTGAGTAGATAATTACTGATCCTCTAAAATGGAGGGACTGTATACAGTACTGTGCAAAAGCTTTAGGCACCTGAAAATTTTATTTAAAAAGGCTTTAAGCATTTATTTACTCAGAAACACTAATATTAAAGTAAAAATAAACAATATTGACGATATAAATGTCAATGTGTTCACTCAATCATTTCTAAACCTCTGCTTGTGGCAGCACTGTATTTTTTATATATATACAGTTCCTGTTTTGGCTAATCAGTACTTCAGTAAATTAAATCGAGTGTGCTGGAGGTGGATTTGAACAAAACTATCTGATGGCAGGGGTGAATCTAGAACCAAGGCATTTACTTCTTTTCTGTAAAAACGTGTTTTTACTAGCAGAAACATACTTACTGCCCAGGTAAACTGTTTTAAACAGTTTGCTTAGATGCTTACTTTTGCACAATACTGTACATCTATCTATCTATCTACCTATCTATCTATCTATCTATCTATCTATCTATCTATCTATCTCCATATATATATATATATGTATGTGTGTGTGTGTGTGTGTGTGTGTGTACATATATATGTATATATGCCTTTTTTCTATCAATGTACACTAGGCCTTTTTTAGATAGACTAAAGTGATATTTTTGAATTTCCAGTGTGTAGAAATGTATTTCAAATGCTGTAATCTATTAATAATTAATGAACATGTAGAGCATACATGTAGTGCATCCATTATTAACATTGCTGGTCAATAATTCGCAAAGTACACGGGTCAGTCTCATCATGATTGCAAAGATTACTACAGTAAAGCTCTACCACAGAATCTTGGCACCTTATTAGGCTAGTCTCTTGGAAATGAAAAGAAAGCACTATTTATTGTTCTCTTCTGTATTTGTTTTGATTATGCAAGGATGGCTGTACCGATTAAAGGTACACTCTGTGATGTGACTCAGTCACTGGTCACAGGTGCAGGAAAGGAGATGATGCTGTCCCCATCATGTTCATGCACATAGCATGCAAGAAATATATATTTTTTTACCTGACAAAGCAGATCTTTCATAAAACTTTCAGCCAGTGATGGAGTAAAGGTACTTCTTGACTTTTTAATTAAGATTTCTTGATGCACCATAAACAACAGACTGTATAAGCTTAGCTTACTAAGCATAAACTATTTAGTTTGTTGTGCCCCACGGTATTAGATGTTGTGGGTAAAAGTATTTCTGCTCATACTGAACTGGACCCCAAATCCTAATATTAACCAGTAAAATACAAACTTGTACAGAACAACTACTGCAAATAATGTGTATTTTCTACTGTCAGATTCTCTCTGCTGTGTCTTGTAATAGCAGTTACAGTGAAAATCATTTAATAATTTATAAAGTAATATATAAAAATGGGCCTATGAAGTCTAAACAAGCCTCCACAATGACAAAAAATCATACTTCGCAAATTACAACTAAGCCAAAATTCTAGTGAGAATGAAGACCCATTCAGATTCTGATGTTCAAACTGCTGAAAAATTCAGCTGACTTTTTGTCCAACAGATGGTGCTGTAGCTCTTAGTTTTTGCGTGTAAGCACTTTTCAAAAGGTGAGACTCTTGTCAGTGCAGTAGTGATGGTAATGATGATTCACATATGTTAGAAATACATAATTAAGAGAAATAAAATTAAATAAAGTCTGCAGGTCTGGTTGTTACCAGTTTCCAAAATGTTATTTGCATCCATTTAAAAAAAGAAATACAAAAAATGTAGGATCTAAGAGTTCCAACCATTAGATAACTGAAAAGTTCTTATACTAAAATGTTAAGTCTACAATTAAGCCTATTTATTTTATAAGTCATTCTATGTAAGTGCTGATCACTTACTTTCTGTTTTTTGGGTTCTGATGTCTTTTGATAAACAAAGAAAAACATCAGACTAGTCCTCTAACCTTCATTATATAACATTCAGAGGCTTTTCTATATTTTGGGTCTTGGGTCCACATGCAACCCCAACATTATGTTCACGATTTGCTTCAGTGAATAACTGAACAATTTAATTCCAAAATGCTGTAGGTCCTTTTGTAACAATTTTAGATGTAACACATTTCTGAATAGAACAGCTGATTTATAAAGGAAAACACATTTTTATTTCTCTAGAAAAGGTGGTATTACTCATAGCATTGAGAACTGATGTATGTGTAAAGCCCACACAACATTATCATGAAAAAAATGCTGAAAGTGACCTATAATGCATTGTGCAACAAAACCCTTGTACTTTATTTCTCCTTGTACATTTAGGTGTTTGAGACATAAAATAAAATCTTATTCTAACCGTAAGGTAAAAAAAACAAATTAACAATACGTTGACAGGATTGTATCAGAAGGGCATGACTGAAAATTCAACTAGCTGATCAGATTGCAGGATTGCAAATTCACTACAATTAAAATCAATTCAGTTCAACTTAATTCAAGTTTATTTTTATTATACATATACACAAGTGTATAGTATAACGAAACATGTTTGGGGTATCCAGATGTATAGATAATGGACACACATAATTTGCATTTACAATACAGCATCACAGTAGGACAAAAAGTTAAAAGTTGTACTACTCTGTAGTAACTAGGCACATTGTACAGTAATACAGTAGCAAAGTTTACAGAGTGCAAAGTCAACCTTAACACTGATTGTGCAGTTCCCTGTGGCATGTGTATATGAAGATGTTCTTAGCCTATGAGATCACAAGATTTAGCGAACCTATCAGATTGCAGGAGATAAAATTCAACCAGCGAATCAGTATGTGGAGGAAAATCACACTACTTTCATTAGCATAAGTTGTGTTTTATAAGTATTTCAGGTTATTAAATTTGTTAGAGGGTAAGACTATGCAGAATAGGCTCAGCTTGCCAGGGCATTTTTAAACTGCATTTAACAATTCTGGTAGTAATTTTAATACATTGAGTTATTTTGAAAGAATTACACTTATTGGACATTCAGTTTAAATTCTTCCCAACGTGAGTGTTGTACTATAGCCTTTTATCCTAACTGTCTCCAAATGTATGGTGCTTTGCAGTGTCATTTGAGTGGTGTAATTTCATTGTTTCAGACATTAGCTATCTACAGAACTGTTTACTTCATAATGATGTTTGCACACACTGGCTGACACCATAGACCTAAACTGATTACCACAATAGCCTGTCATAAAAAGATAAAATTATTTATGTTCATAGACTGTTAAAATTATAAGCTCTGTCACTATCAGTGATGCTTTATCCACTAATAAAGTCCACACAAATTAACTTTGGGCACCATTCTCAGCTTTGACCAGGGCCTCCTTCTCCTCATAACACTCCTTATCCACTGAAAAAGAAAAGAATAAAACCTTTTTAAAGAAGTATTTAGAAGTCTCAGTCTGTTTTGATTGAATGTGTATGCATTTGTTCTTTGCTTAATAACCCAGATTTCACATGAATGAATGAATAAGTGAAGCTAATGAGGCTCACTTACCTTACTTACTCACACTAATAGTGTATATTGTAGCATGGACGTTGTGACCACCAGAGCTTGTTTTTGCCATGCTTTTGTGGTTTGCAGAAATGTGGTTTTGTGGTTCTCGTAATGAGAAAATGATATAAGTGATTATTTTGACCTGGAGATTTGAGCGTTGGAGATTCTCCTCCGTGGTTTTCAGCTTGATCTAACTCACTGGCTGTAGTGTCTCATTCAGCTCCACCTGATGATCTATCTGTAGGCTATGCACAGTCTGCTGAAATTACAAGAAATGGAAGTCTATAGAGTACACCATCTTTGAACATGTACTTCACGTATGCTGTCTGTATTTACAGTCTGAGTATGTTCTACTCTATTATGATTCTGAGAGTTTTAACCAAAGTTAAAAAGTTTTAATACGATCTGGGATGGGCTACCCTCAGCTCTGTACTGTGTATTTTTGTTGTCTTTCTACAAAACATATTATGGCACCCTGTGTGATAGCCTTGCTAAGAAACACAGAAAACATACCTGATCGCTTCAAAATAAGTTGTAAAATAGGAAAAATTATATAATACCTACATAACTGACAAATTAGGAAGACAGAATGCATGTGTTTGTAGTAGACCTATGGTTAAGGTTGCCAACTCCATCATACAGGAATCTGGGATTACTGTCAAAGAACAACCAATAATGTATTTTATTCTGATTTTACTTCCATGATTTTTGAAAATTAAAACCATAAAAAATCTCAAGGATTGAATTTTGCTTGAGTCTCAAGTCCGATCCTTGTGTGTTTGCAACCCTAGCTATGGCCTGTCTGGCAAATGCTGCCTATGTGGTTAAATGTCTTTGAGAAAGGAACCTACACTTTATACGACGGATGCAGGGGGAGCTGGGATGGTAACTTGCAGCCTTGAAGCTGCTCTTGTGTAGGGGTGTTTTCAGTATTTTGACACACCTGATTCAACTCTTCAACCAGTTAAGACACTCTTCATAAGTTCATCTCAATTGTGAAAATGTTGATCTGTATAGGAACACTCCAGGGACAGTATTTGACCTTCTGTAACATTGGGTCAGCCCCCTCAAGATTATGATAACAGAATAATGAAAAGGTAAATGGCTATGTCTTTGATCCTACCCTCTATGTGCATGCTACCAATGTAAAAACGAAAATGTATATCAGGGATTTTTCTGACAATTAAGTCATTGTTCACTTAGATCATTAGCTGACCTTCACTATCATTTGTATACGTGTGCTTCCAAATGAAACCAGTACAATATAATCAGCTGATCCTGGTTATATTCACTGTACGTCTACTGTAAGTTATGTCACATACAGTACATCCCAGTACAGTAGATCAAAATCATATGACTCACCGGTCATAAAAGTGACATCCAGATGCCGACATCATCAAGCCGATTAAGTTCTTTCGGTACATGTGAAGGCTAATGGTACTCTTAGTTGGAAGGTTCATCTGAACTTTGTTCTACAGTCAACAGCATATGAGGCCACCTGTAAAATTAGAATCTGTTCTATTGTTCCACAGTACAAGGTACAGGTTCACCCGACGTTGCGTGGAAGCGTGATGCAACAGTGTCAAAAAGCTGTTGTCAGCATGCATCAAAAATAGTTTGCCACAACTACTCTAAACAATAGCACGTGCCAAAAAGTCAAAAATAGGGCTTAGATATAATTTGTACTGAGAGGATAATCCATAATCTGTGTGTTTTGTGTTTGTGTGTTACCTTAAATCGAAGAAAGACTTCAAGAATCCAATCACACACTCTCAGCCTCATTCTCATGTAAGCTAATTTAGTGACATAGCCTTTGACACCATTCAACTTTTATCTAGAACAAAATGTAGAGCAGACTGTTGATTCCATAGTCCCAGGTAAAAAAAAAAGTTACCAAATAGTCCCAAAATCATTTTTATTCTACAGAACAGCACCTTTCGAGCAAGATGCTATATACTTATTACACAGAATACAAGTATATATTCTCAGCTTCTTCCTGTGGAACACTTGACTTGGTGAAACAGTCTGTCACATACCATTTGAATGAAAGTTTTATTCAGAAGTAAAATCTAGGTGCTGAGCTGTGAATTTTTCAATCTAAGTAAAACAAAACTAAGACTAAAATTAAGAATTCTATTAAGCTACAGCTCACAACCACTAAAATGCAATTGCAGATCAGTCTTACTAATACCAGGTTCTGATGCAACAGGTTGCAGGGTTTGTGCAATAGAAACACAGTTTAACAGTTCAGCAGACCCCTTGTTCTTTTGCGCAACTTGGTGATAACAGGCCTGTAGAGGGCGACTGAGTGATTCAGGACCCTTGACTGAAAACTGCTACTGGTGCCCATCTATCACAGAAACTGCACAAATAACTCTCAAACTAGTAATGCTTACTTTGACCAATTCTCCAGGGTATATTCTGGTTTTTCCATCTGAATTTACATGACCAAATCGTAAGGCAAATTATTCAGTAACCGCATGAAATAAATGTAAATTTTATTTTATTTATTTATTTGTAAAAGCTCCCCTCAAATTAACAGAACATGTGTTTTATGATCATACACATATTGCTATATGCTTACAATTTACTGCTGAAAGCCAAAAATCTTAGACGCTCTTTGTATTATTTTATAAAAATACTTTTTACAGAGCAGATCACTGAAGAGACAACACCTGTTTATAGTTTATAGCCTATTTGTGGAAAAATGGGTCAACTTTCAGTAGACAAAAAAAAATGTGAGTTTAGCTTCTTTTATTATAAAGTTTAAAAATTACATTACCCATCTATTTGACTGAAAAGAAGACAGTTACAGCTCTCATATGATACCCACTTTTTGAATGTAGCTTATGAAATATGAAAGTTATGAAGAATATGACGAAGTGCATTTTGGAACCACCGGTGGTCTCAAGGAGTTGAAGAGGTTAACAAAGTTTTCCTCAATTTAATTATCAACTCTGAAGAACTCAAAGAGTCTTAAGTCTGCCCAAGTCACACTCACTGAGGGCACTTCTCTAATTCACACTGCGAAGCAAAAGCCTGATTTTCAACCCCAGTCCTGGTGTGCACTGACCAGCACGGCTTCAAGTATTCCCTTAAACACACCTGATCCAACCCATGAAGAACTTGAGAGTCCATGAGCTAAAACAGGTGCAAAGGGGCAGGGAGCTGTTGAAACTTAGCAGGGCAATGGTTCTCAAGGACTAGAGCTGAGAACCAGTGCCTTGGGGTATTGGATAGCAATATACATTTGTAAAAAAGATTTTTAAACAAGCAGGAAGCACATCTTTCATTAAACTATCCTCCAAGCCTTCTGTGTCCCAGATTTATTGCACTTCCAACATATGGCTGCTAGACGGCGACTTCAAGCTGTGAGGACAGTCAGGCTGTTGCTAAGCTGTGAAAGTGTTCATCAACTCACAAAATAGTTACTGGCATTTTTAGGCCTACTGGTTTAATTAACCTCCTCAAAGTGAAATCACATATACACATGTAAAAACTGGGTACATATGAAAGTGTAAGGTAGATTTTATAATAATTAATAATGTTCACAGTCAAATAGTTTTTTTGTTTTTATTTATTATTTTATTTACTTTATTAGTTTACTTTTTTATTTATATGCTTTTTAGAAAACTATTGATATGTTTACTTCTTTAATTGCTTTTTTAACAGCATTTGTCTGCAAGGACACGGTGCAAGTGGCCATGTGGTCAACAGTGGTAATGTGAAAAACCTCCAGAACGTCCAACAAACAAACAGACCAGCATGCGGATAATGGTGACCTGCATTCCCCAAAGCAGGAGGCTATAGCTCCTTTTCCCATGGAGGTGAGGAGCCTGGATTGCATCATGTTTACAATACACGTGTTGCCTTATGCTTTCCTGAAGCTCCACTGTTTGGTTTGGATCTGTAGCAGGATGGAGGTCATTGGGATAAAGGTCAGGCGCTGGACTTAGATCTCTCATTGCCAGGGCTTATTTTATTTATTTATTTTTCCTACCTATATTCCAACAAGTCCTGGGGATCCACGGTCCTGTACTACAATTGACTAGTAGTTTAAACTACTAGCTAACATGCTAACATTGGCATGTAGTTCATACTCCTGTGTTACGACTGTCTAGTAGCTCATACACTTAGGATCAGCTTATAGTAGGCCTTGTGCTATAATTGGCTAGTTGTGCTTACTCTTAGATCATGCCAGTAACCTATGAGTGTCCAGGAATTCAATTTCCTGGGCTAAGACTGGCTGGGGGTTCGTATTCTTGAACTAGGACTGGCTTGTGGTTTATACTCTTGTGCCATGTTTAGTAAGTTTTTCATAATCCTGCATTAGGACAGGCTAATAGTGGGAACCCCTGCACTATGACTGGTTTGTGCTATGACTGGCTAGAAGTTCAGACTCATCAGCTAGAACTGGCTAGCAGCTCATTTTCGTTCTCTAGAACTGGCTCGTAGTTCATACTCACAAGCGCTGGATGAGCCAAACTAGCCAATCTTTGCAAATGAAGACGAGCTAACAGACAATCCTGTTGCAGGAAGATGCTACTAGCCAAGTGGGCGGGGCTTGTCGAAAAAACGGGCAAGAAAAAGAATTAGGCCGGTGTCAGAGATGAGCCGACAACAGGTTCAGGCACCATCCGGGCCTTCGGAAGCTCTGAGGCACGCACAGCACCTTTACTGTGTTTATTTTCCCGTGATACCGGACGATCATTTTCAGCGAAGGCTGTTTTATTTAGAAACGTACATTTGGCCAAGGGAGCACACAGGAGTTCATGATCAACTTTACGCACTTCACGTATCACTCGCGTGTACCCCCACCACCCCCGCCCACCTCTGTTTGTGTGTGTGTGCGTATGTGTATGTGTGTGCGCGTGTGCGCGTCCGTGACTCCCGCTGCGTTCATTGGCGCGTCCCTCAAGCGTGTCACAACTTTTGGTGGATTACCCCACTTCTCTCGCGCCTCGGACAGCAGTCTCTCTTCGCACCGTTCAGCGTCCCTCCTGCTCCGCGAACTACCCAACAGCTAAGTGAGCGAGGCGGCGACATGCTCTCTTCATCGCTCCCCGACCTCCCTCTCCCCGGTGACTGGGCACACGGCGGCTTGGCGCCCGCGCTGCTGCTGCTCAGCGCGCTTGTACAGCTCCAGGGGCATGGGGGTGCGGCCGCCGCGTGCTCCTCGTGCTCCGGGCCCACGCCGGCACCGGACGGCTCGGATGAGAGTTTCCTCATCGAGGCGGCCAAGAGGCAGATCCTGAACAAGCTGCACCTGCGCGAGAGACCCAACATCACACACACTGTGCCACGCGCCGCGCTCGCCACAGCGCTGCGCAAACTTCACGCGGGGCGCGTGCGGCCGGATGGCACGATCGAGCTGGACAACGGCGCGGCGAGCGCGCGTATCAACGACCAAGCGTACGAGATAGTCAGCTTTGCAGATACGGGTAAGAAAGCTACACTTATAATTCAACACTATTCATTCACTTGATCAGTGGTTCTCAACTCCACTCCTGGAAATTTTACACCTGATCCAGCTCATCAACTCATTATCAACCTGTTCATGAGTTGGACGAAGTGAGTTGTGACTTGAAGCTGTGTAAGACTGTGGATCCCCAGGACTGGAGCTGAGAACCCCTGACAGCATAATCATGTGTCTTTGAAGATGCGTGAAACTTTCAGAGTTTCTGTCCATATTGTAAAATTTCATGATACATGCTAGACTGATCAGGTGATATTTAGCCCATACACTTTAAACACGGGCTCAGATGACAGAAAAGTTGTTTTAAAAGTTACTTTAAAACACTGTAAATAAAAAAAACATAATTTACAGCATTGTTCAACAGTTGCAAATATTCTGTTTACATTTATGCTATCTGTAAACGAAAGTAACATGAAAAAGTACTCCACTGAATTTACTTTATTTGGGTGTGTACACATTTCCTCATGAACAAAATACTTCAATACAGTTTTGTCTTGCCACAATGATTGCTTAGAAGTAAAATATTTTAATCATGTGGAAATAATGGACACAACTGAATAAGGTCTATGTAGGGGTACTCACCTGGAACCGACAGGTATCTGTCATCAATCTTAAGTAGAATAAAAATTGCCTTCCTGTTTCTGACTGTCATAACAAAGAAGTTGAGTTGGGTTTGCTGTTTTGAACATTTTAGATGTGATTTTTAAAAAGAGAACTGATTTTATTGGGATGTCTCCAATGTCCTATTGTTTCAGTGCACAACTTTGACAAACTTAGAACAAACGTTTATGTGCACTTTTGTGTTTGTGCTACAGTGCTGAATTCACACCTATGTTCATTTTATACTTAAACTTTTGGCTTATTGCTCAGTTAGGCTATTAATTTAAAAGCATATTTTCTAGTAACTACTATTAATTATTCAGTAACTACTATGAAACCAGAGATTTTTCTGTGATTTTTGTAACAAAATCAGGCAAAGAAAACAGCTCTAATTTCTCTCCTTCTCCTACAAAGTTTTTTTCTTCACCGTTTTTCTCCACCTTCCTCCTGAGAGCCAATCCATCCATCCTCCTCCACTTATACATCCCTCCCACTCACCTTTGTTTTCTAAAAGCCTCTTTCTCATTTCTCTCCAGATGACGAAGGCTCCAGTGGCATCGACCCCAGTCTGTCCTTCCAATTCCTTCAAGAGCGTGGGCAGAGTGTGCAGGTGCTGCAGTCCTCACTGTGGCTGTACGTACGTCCGGGCGATGGCCCACGCCCTGTCGCCCGTGTCTCCGCCCAGGTCTACCTGTCAGGCACAGGGCAGGCCGGCAACCGCACCCTGCTTCTCCAGCGAAGCGTGGAGGTGGCACGAGGTGGCTGGCACACCTTCCCTGTCACCAGCACCCTGCAGGCCTTCTTGGACGGTGGGCAGCGGCGCCTGCAGCTGGAAGTGCACTGTGAGGATGGGGGCCAGAACCTGTGCAGCCGGGGCAAAGCGGACACCTCCCAGCAGCCCTTCCTGGTGGCGCAAGTGCGTCTCCGTGACGACGAATCCAAGCACGCCCTGAGCAAGCGCTCGCTACGCTGTGGTGATGACGTCAGCGTCTGCTGTAAGAAAGACTTCTACATCAAGTTCAGAGACATTCAATGGCAGGACTGGATCATTGCGCCCTGAGGGCTACCACATGAACTACTGCATGGGCCAGTGTCCGCAGCATCTGGCCGGCTCGCCGGGTATCGCTTCCTCCTTCCACGCCACCGTCTTCAGCCAGCTGAAGGCAAATGGCATCCACACAGCCATCTCATCATGCTGTGTGCCCATACAGAGACGTCCGCTCTCTATGGTCTACTTCAACTCGCAGCACAGCATCGTGAAGACTGACGTCCCAGACATGATCGTAGAGTCCTGTGGGTGCACGTAAAACAAATGAAACATAAAAGACAAGTTCATACTGCAGAAGGCACTTTTACCATGAAGATATTGTTTGAGATTGTGAGCATATTCACCCAGATGCATTTCACATGCAGTAATATGAAACAATCCTATTTATCAGCTTAATGTGTTTAAGGAGTTTAGAACTAAACACCTTCACACAGGCATCGTGTTGTTTATGCAAAGGAAGGCTCATAAACATCTTATATGATATTAAAAAGGCCAAAGCAGCGTTCATTTGAATCAAAGCCACTGTAGTGATTATGTGACACTCTGGGCCTTTTCACTGTACCGTTTGATAAATTTTCAGCTGAGGCCGCTGGCCTGACCTCTGCCTGGTTACCCAATGAGATGGGTAAACAGTTATTGCCACATGCTCAAGCGAAAGTCTAAAAAGGAATGACGGTAAGCGGGCATATGTGACATGCTGATGTCTACATGCTGTTTGATTTTAAAGTTCTGGGGAGGGGGTATAGAATCAGATTATGTGTCAATCTGCATATTCTAGCAAAACTTTAAAGTGTTTGACTTGTGTTTTACCAAAGTTCTCAAGGCTTTTTTGTGTACTGTTTTGTTTACGTGAAGCTGCAGAGTGTATGTGAGTGTTTTCTTCAAATGTATGTTAAGTTAAAACTTTTTGTTTAGATGCTATGTTACTTTTTATTTAGAGATGTTTTTTTCTGGCAAATGCAATATTTTTGGAATTTCTGCAAAAATCCAACAGAGAAGCTTTTTCACTAAACCAAAAAGAGACCTGCCCAAGGCTGTCTCACAATTTTGTCTTTTTAATATTTTTTATAAAGCTGTTCCTCTTCTGAAATACATTAGAGGGAAGCTATGATTGTGCTGTTCTTGGGGTTATGGCATCATAGTTTGCTTCAATTTCCATGTTTACAGTTCTATTGATTTCAGGGTTAGGCTCACAGATAAAGAACAAAGTCTTTCTAATGATCGACTTTTATAATGCTTCCGGATCTATCATTGCATGCTTGGACTGTATGCATTCTGGTCTTATAGGGACTAATAGCTTCTCTCTCAAAAGCACAAACTCATGTTTGTGGCTGCACTTTTTTATCTGTTATAATTTAATAATTTGGATTGAGTTTTTGTTTTTTTAATTGGGTCATACAAGTATGACTTATTTGTTTGTATGTCATTTTGTTCCTTTCCATTGCTTTGTTGATGTAAGTTAAATATACAGTAAGTTATGACCAAATACCAAAACTGTAAGTTAAAGTTCTCTGACAATTAATTTTTTAAATGTAATTTGTTTAATTTTGTAACAAAGTACTATTTTATTACAGTGTGATAGTTTGAAAATCATTGTGCATTGTGATTTTGTTAAAGTTTTTTATTTTATTAATAAAAATGAAATACAATATTTTACTTATTTCAGCGTACACTTCATTCAGCTTTTCATCAACTTCAACATTTCATATCATAAAGTACAGAGATGCTCCTTATGCCAATCAAGTTCCATGAAATATATTATCACTTATCAAATAATTGATTGCCCCGTTGGTATCTCTATATGCCCCAATATTGATTTTGAGGGCTCAAAATCAATAACGTCTGAAAGGCAAAGAGCGTGTTTGCTTGGGCAAACACTTGAATTGGTTTTTTATGGACCGTCTATATTTGTCAAGTAAACATTCGTCAATTTTTTCTGGCAACACCTAAACTCACTATGTTCCATAAGAACAAAGGACTGACACCAGATCTTTCCTGTACTGTTTAGCTATAGTACCACATAAGCAAAATATTTAGTATATTATTAGTATATGTTTCCAACTGCATATTCACTCGCTTTGTTTCAGTTAGCCCAATAAAGTTGTACCTTCACCACTCTACCCCTGTTTGCACATTCTGAAAACCGCTGCCACGCTGGAATGCGCCTCAAAACGGTAGCAGCAAGGGAACAGGGATCATAAAACCATGAGTCAGCACTGGTGCTTCTCTCATACCCTGCAGTGATTTAACAAGGGAAAGAGCAATATGTCCTCCAAACATACAAGTTTCCTAAATATATGACACTTCTTTACCTACACGCAAGTTGTTTTTTTTTACATATATGTGAGTCATTGTTTCTTTCAGTACTTACATTTACTCAAGTTTAAGGACTGTTCTCCCTGCCACTATGTGTACATCCTTTCTCAGTCACAAGAGCTGTGCATATGTACAAAATGCAAATCTGGCAAAGAGCAAATGAAAAACAAACATGCTATCTAACAAAACAAAACAGTTACTGAATCTTGATCCTGAAGCACAGTTTGGAAAAGAGTGCTACGTGAGCTCTTACTCAATGTTGCATGTGAGAATCAGAGATATGAGCTGGACTCTGACTGCTCTCTGCAGCTTAACAGTTAACAGTTAACAGCAACTTAACAACTGAAACGAATTTGTGTGACAGCAGGCATGATCACTCATAATGACTCCTTTGTATCTTTGACAGGGTGAGCCCTTGTTTTCAAGCACATATACAGCAAATATAAACCCAACTCTGCAGGCAGGCAACACAGAAGATATACTACTTGGGCAACAGCAAAAGCTCATCAGTCAATTCACAGAGGCTATCAAACAACTATAACTACAGCTGACCATCTCTTCTATTCCACCTCTTACAAAGTAGGCGAGCCCACTAGCATCCACTGTTCCTCAGGATATGGCAAACATGTAGACAGACAAGTGATTTAAATGGATCATGCCATGGATCATTGGTATGGCATCTACCACATTGTTCCTATCCCACTATGCTAAAGTTACATTCACCATCCTATTACTGTCTCCCAGGAGTGAGTGATGACAGTTTGAGAGCATGAGGATGATGAAACAAGGTCCTTTGATAGGGTTACTTCCATGATTTGTCATTTACTGTAAAAATCTGTATATTCTTTTGTGAGGGACTAGATCAGATACCGACAATGTGGTTACCTTCTGAATCACAGCAAACAATGGGTGGAATGAGCCTGCCTTAATTTGTCAAGGGTTTTGGGAGGAACTGACAACACCCTGTCCTTGGTCCTTTTCAGGATCCTAGAAATACGACCAGATAACCTCCTGAGAATAGCTTCAAAGTAGCTACCAGAGTGGCAACACCTCTCCCTCTATACCTATGAAAATCCTAGCTCTCACTAAAGAAAGGACGGGGCAAAATCAAGTAGGTGTCTGTCTGCAACGAGGATGGTGGACTCTAGGCAAGCAGACTGCAAGGTCAACTCTAACTCCAAAACATCTGTGATGAGTCATTTATATTAATACTCCATAACTTCACAATCCAGTAATGATCAGTTGTATTTTGACCAGATGTGCCTAGCTCCAGTTCTGGAAATACACTGCCCTGGAGAGTTTAGTTCCAATACACCTGGCTCTAATATCCAGATGCTCGTGAAAGCCTTGATTAACTAAGGCTTTGATTAACTGAGTTAATCAAGGTGTATTATAGGAGTGTTGGAAGTCTGCAGGACCAGAGTTGGGTACTCTACAAGTTTCCAACCTTGGCCCTGAAATACCCCCTGCCCTGTAGATTTTAGTGTGGTCCAACTAAACAGCTAATTAACAAGCTCTTTGTGAGCTGAAGTGGGTGAGTTAAAGCAAGAAACCCCAAAAATGTGTGTAAGGTTGACAACTTCTCTTACACAAATGCAGTTTCTATCTTGGTGGTTTGCTAGAACCTTGCACAGCTAGTGTAGATGTTTAGAAAGGTCAAAGCCACTGAGTGGTCACCACGCCCACTCCTGGGATTACTTGCTGTCCATTAACAACAGTAACTCTTGACGAATACATAGAGAAGGACTTTAACATGGATTCATTCCATCTCGCTAGCCTAGCTGGGATTCTTCTTTGTTGAAAAGAAGGACTGCAACCTCCATCCCTGCACTGACTACCACAGCCTCAACAAGGTATTTGTCAAGTACTGGTACTCCCTGCCTCTGGTGTCTACAACACTGGGGCAGCTGTGCGAAGCATGGACTTGCACCAAAGTGGACATATGCACAATCCACAAGTAGAAAACATCCTCATCTCTCCCTCTACTACCTCAATAAGCACATGCTGACAGTACTGACAAACTAATTTAACACAGGGTTGAGAAACATTTCATTTATCTGTTTTACAAGTTACATTTGAAAAATATGGAACAGCACAGAGTCTGTGCAGTCCTGAACTGACTAACTGTTATAATCATGAAGGGGTTGTACTGTAAACATATTTAAAACTGCAGCATCATCGCTGCATCACTTACTACTCGGCTCGACACTTGTTCTAGTCAGCAGCTGCACAGGTGTTCACTAATCTATTACTTATTACGACAGGCATCTTTGTCCATCTGCCTCCCATCCAAGCTTTCCAGTGAGACCCTGCCATTTCAACCAAACTGTCGATGGGAGTCCTCTGGCTTGACAACAGCAGATGCATCTTGCTTCAAACGTACATCAGACACTCCCATTCAGAAGTTACTGCTCTCTTTGTCAGGCTCACTAAGCCACCTAGTCTCTGTCTGGGTGGTATGTGTATTAGCAGCAAGTCATTCACTCCTTGTCATTTGTCGTCCACATGGATGCCTCTGAGGTGGTACTGGGGTACATATCCATCCATCCATCCATCCATCCATCATCTAAACCGCTTATCCTTCTGGGTCGCGGTGGGGTGCTGGAGCCTATCCCAGCTGTCATTGGGCGGAAGGCAGGATACACCCTGGACAGGTCGCCAGTCCATTGCAGGGCAGACAGACAGACATACACATTCACACACACACACACACACACCTAGGGGCAATTTAGCACGTCCAATTGGCCTGACTGCATGTTTTTGGACTGTGGGAGGAAACCGGAGTACCCGGAGGAAACCCACGCAGACACGGAGAGAACATGCAAACTCCACACAGAAACGACCCTGGTCACCCAGCCGGGAATTGAATCCAGGCCCTTCTTGCTGTGAGGCGACAGCGCTACGCCCTGCGGCACCATGCCGCCCCGGGGTACGTCATCATAACAAAAAGAAGACCTAGCTAAGTGATGGTCCATTGGGAAAGACATGGGATGTCCACAGTGCACCTCGAAGGGTGAGAATCCAGTAGATGCCTGCAGAACCTCTCTGTAAGCAAAGAGAAGATCACCCAGTCATTACCAGTCAGTAAAACAAATTTATGAAGCAGTCTTCAGGGTCTGGTTGAATTGTTCTACTACGCCAACTGTTTGAGGATGACAGAGGGAGGTCTTAATGCCATGAATGCCTAACAGCTTGTAGACATCTTGTAGTAACCTAGACAGGAAGTTTGTGCCTTGATCTGTCAGAATCTCCCAAGGGAGACCTACCCTTGCAAGCAGATGTAGAACAGCATTAGCCATCTCCCTGGCCTTGACAGTACGTAAACGGAAAGCTTCAGGGTATCATGTAGCGTCATCACATACCACCAAAATATACCTGTTCCCTGTCCTGCTCCTTTCTAAGGGGCCCAATTTGTCCATTCCTCTCCTCTCATATTGAGTTTCAATTATAGGAAAAGGGGCTGATCTGTCTGATGTTAATTGGCACTTCTGACGTTTGACAATATTCAGTCACATCAGTGTACAAGTTTGGCCATGTGAAACATGCACCAATGAAAGCTAGTGTTTTATGTTTACCTAAATGTCCGCAAGGTATGGAGTGACCAAGTTTCATTACAGTTAACCTCATGGCAGCTGAAACAACTAGTAGCTCAAGTTCATCTATATGTTGATACATGATTGTTTTTTGCAAGACATAACCCTCTTCATCTAGCCCTTCGCCCTTGCCAACTTCATCTTCCCAGCTTAAACACATCACCAAATTATGACGGCTATTTAAAACAGCATGTGTCGTTTTGTTTTTATGTTAAATGTCACAATTACATAGAAAGTCCTTGTATATATATTGTGGCGTAGGGCAGGTCTGTCACACTCCATCTGTGTGCTCTCCTCTCCAATAAACTGACACTTCTGAAGAGGAATTAAAATACAGGAAACTGCAAACGTTTTCTATCAAGGTTTTCCTAGAGTGACAGTGATAGAATAGTGGTACAAGTACCTTGTGCGTTTTTGTCCAATTTCCTTGCATCTTTTCCTCCTGTCTTAGCTCCTCCCACTGTGGACACAAGTAAAAGATGCAAAGATAAAATGTGAGTATAGAGGAGTCGATACTAAACATGCTTGCTAAATGAGATATCCTTTACTCAGTTGTCACTTTTATCACCTGTTACAGATAATTTACAGTTATATCCTAATATCAGCTGACATTTCACAACTTTCATCATCCTTTAATAGTACCATCCCATTAACTGTAATCACCCAATGACTGCATAGAGTGGAAGAAGAGAAATGATCACAGATCTACATCACAAGTTTTCAGTGTACAATGCAACTGGCTTTCCTCACTCTAAAAGCCTTGTCTCTTCTGTATTAAAAAGCTGATATGTCCTTAAAGGTAGCAGAATTCAATCAATTTTTGGGTCACAGGCTAGAGGAGGTAAGACAGAAGAAATGAGGAGGCATCAATTACAGTTATAAGATCCACCCAACTGTAAGACTCTTAAGATTAAATTTTGTACATTTTATAGGCACCTTATATGCACATATGGTTCAGTCTATTGTGCTAAACACCATTAAGTATGAAAATAGTAATAGGTTCATGGTTCAGGAAAGGACCGTGTGTGTGTTTTGTTGGGGGTGGGGTGGGGTGGGGATGTGCATGCGTGTAAAAGTGAACAAGAGTAAGTGTACGAATGCGTACGCATGACCAGGAAGTCTCTGCTTTGTGTGATTAATGGAAAGAAGGTTATCTTCTGGGGAAACCTAGTGACTCACTGATACACTGACACACTAACCCACAGACCCACTGATTTACCCTAATCCCACACACGAGGACTCACACACACACACACACACACACAAACACAAACACACACACACATACACGTCTTCAATCCTGTTAATCCTCACACAGTGTGAGGTGTGAGACGTGTCCTTACAGGTGGGTTATATGCCACACTGAACTGTAGAAAGTCTCATTACTCTGAGACAGAGAAAGGCACACATAGGATCTTATGCTCTGCCAACATTCTGGAGAGTCCACACGGAAAATGTTTTGTGCAAGGTAACTTGATAATTACTACTCAATCAACACTGCAATACTGTTGAAAAGAAGGATAGCATTCTGCATCCCTGCACTGACTGCCACAGCCTCAATAAGGTCACTATCAAGTACTGCTACTCCCTGGGTTGTTTACTGGACTGTTTTTCTTACAAGCTATGCCTTTAATTACTAAGTTACAGGGATCCGGTCTGTGATCAGCTCATAACGTTGAGAACCTGCTCACTCCAGCTAGTACAGCCTCAAAACCCCTCCAAGAGATCTGACCTGGATTCTCTCCAACAATACAAAATCTCCTGCTACACCTGATGACACATGACCTCACGAGAACACAACAAAGCTGTCCTGCATAGCAGACTGCACCTATCCAGTTGTACAATCTAGGTACAATCTAGCATTCTCAGTTGTACTAGCTCAATTGTGACATGCCATGAAGAGCAACAGTAAAGAAAAGTAGGATGCAAATCACAAACTTTAAATGTTAGCCATATTTAACTGCAAACATTAGTCCTTTTAGTACTATGTATTAGTATTTAGTAGGCTTGTGCCATTATAAACATTTAATATGATAATTACCTAACCTTTTATCACTGTTAACCAATGTCATCATAACACTATATTAAGAATACCTAAGAATAGTCTTTGTAGTGACTGAATAGTAAGCCTTAGTATGTAATAAGCCTGGGATTTTAAGAGGTTAATTAGCATTTTGTCGTTGGTTTCACAGTGTGAGAAGCGAGAGCTTGTGATACTACTCTGTGTCTAAAAAATCTGATAAAACTTCAACTTGTTTGCCTAAAATGCAGTAATGTTATTTTAAAGTGTTCATAATAACAACATTGTGTGTGTTAAATTTCACAATACACTTTATCACTGAACATCAGCAACTGTCTTGTATTGAGTATTTCAAAGCATCTTTTAAAGAACACTTTATAAAGACTCCAAAGCCATTGTGAGAAACCACTAAGCAATGCATAGATGTCACACAATATAGGTCCTAACCCAAATTTGTGGACGTTTCAGTAATATCATCTAATTAAAAGTATCAATGTTTTATTCAAAGATGCAATGAAAGTCAGTCAAAGGGCAAGGATAAAAGAAGACTTAACTGTATTTTGCCAATCGTCTGCTACAAACTTCATTGTCTGTTGGTCATAATTATTGGCTACTTGTTTCATGGTAACCCATGCATCATGAATAAAGACAGGGCTGTGTGATTTTGGAAAAAAGCTGCAGGATTCCCACAAAACTCTCAAAAGACCATGTTTACATCTGGGACTGGTCTGTGCTCTCTAATAGCACACAATGAAAATGAATTAAGAGAACATACTGTACATTCTTGCTTTTATTATTGCTATGTTGGCAAGTTGTATTTGAACAGAATGCTGTTTAAACTTAGGGAATTCAAGATTTTAAACACTCTTCATACTTTTCATATTTTTCACATTCAGTTCTGTCAAGAACACAATCAACAACCTACAGTGCATGCCATAAGACCTCCAACCATGTACACAGTCCGCAGCAGGTCACATGAAGACTGTTTGTACTAGCATCCTCCCACAATGCCATGCGCAAGCCACTTCAAATAACTCACAAAGCCTTACATTGATCCCATTACTCTAGACCCACTTTCCTGATTTATCCACTCAGTTACATCACAGCTACTTTGCAAGCCCGGCTAGTGCTCAACATCAATTCTCAATGGCCAGAGAAGAGGCTACTCCTTCATTCATGTACATACTGCAAATTTTAAAATATTTATAATGACTGTGTCTGTTAAATAAAATTCAACTGCATTAAAATATGCAATATAAATGTAAAATAACTATACAAAATAACTCTACACATGACCTATATAAAAGAGTGAGTATGCCAGCATCATAATTATAGTATAATATATATTATTATATAATATATATTAACATCAGCTCTATTTTTTCTCAGTGAACGCGAAGACAAAATTTTAACAAATGCTCAGCAGCATATCTCAGTTTCATTTGCGTGGATCTGCGCACCAACTACTCTTCAACTCAAAATTATATTAGGTGCTTGTAACGTTGGAGGAGAGGGGGTGGGATGCAAGTCCAAGTTGCTTTTGTTCAAATCAGATTTAACAGAGTCCAGAAACTGAGTAGCAGAGGTTTGTACAACAGACAAGTCTATAATGAAACGAAAACCTAACAAGATCAAAGAAAACAAGCAACAGGGTAACATCCACAACGCAAGACAAAGAGACTTAACAAACACAGGGGTATAAATACACTAAGGGGAAACAAGAAACACCTGGGACTAATGAGAGGGTGAAGATACAGGCAGGTGGAGCAGATAATAAGGGGGCAGGAACAGGGAGGAGACGCTGAACAAAACCAACAACAAAAGCACAAGGCACAAAAAAACAAAAATCACATGGCTACAACACAGGGGAAGAAACACACACTCAGAGGGACAATGGGAAAACTGTGACAGAACCCCCCTCCTAATTCACAGCTCCCATGGCATGAAAAACAAAGGCCATCTGAGATGGGAGTCAGGTAGCAGGAGGGACCTGGAAAACATGCAGGAACATTAACAGGAAACTAGACAGGAGACAGGACACCAGACCGGGACCACTTACTAAACTGTGCAAGGGACTGGACAAGGGACAGAGCAACACAAACAGGGACAGAGACCACGACAGTAACAGGGACTGGGGCAAGAATAATAAAAGGAACAGGGACAGACACAAATTCAGAAATGGGTACAAAAACACAAACACCAACAGGCACCAACTCCACAGAAAAGGGAACAGAAAGGCATCCAGGTCGCAGGAACAGAAACAGGAGCTATCCGGGGTGTAGGAATTCTGGAACACGAAACACGACAGGGAGTTGGTGCCAGAACCCAACAGGGTACTGGCACAGGAGCTGCACTGGGAACCAACCCAGGGGGAGCAGCAGCTCTGGAAGCTGGCTTTGAAACACAATGGGGAGCAGGAACATGACACACAGGTCACAGGCAGGTCTATGGGCTATGGGCAGGTCAGGGAACTCCTCGGGTGCAGGCTGGGCCGCACTGACGTCATCTGCAGCTAGCAGAGCTGAGAACAAGGTAGGCTTTTTCTCCTTACCAGGGAACAATAACTGAAGCTGTCGAAGCAGATGGTAACCCTCCTGAAGTCTGACCTCATTCTCCTTAAGAAGTTCTTGCAAACTCACTGCTTCCCTGTTTGGTCTTGCATTCTGTAGCAGTAATCCAACAGACAGATCAAAGTATCTGATTTGGGCCGAAATAGTCCAGAACTCTTTGATTTGCTCAGCCACTTGTATGACCCCATTCCAGTGTATCTTATGTTATCAACCTCCGCTCGCCCCCTGGACTGCTACTCCCTGGGATATCCCAGCTATCGACGACTGGGGGAAGCGCAGCGAAGAAGTCTGGGAACAGCAGCGTGTTAAACAACAAGCAAACCAGCATCGGGGGGATACCCCCACCTTTCAGCCTGGAGACCGGGTTTGGCTCTCCACTCGGGACCTCAGATTTGGGCAGCGTTGCAGCTGCAATACATCGGTCCGCTCCAGTCCGGTCAGGTTGGTGGTGGTCGTCGAGGGTGCCCTCGTTCCTCGGCCGTCCCTGTCACGCATCCCTCTGGCCTGGCTGAAACTACAGCCAACAGGGCCGCCCAGTGATCTACCTATCAGTGCTTTTCATTTCCGGACTACTGATTACATACACACCTGTTCCTTGTTACCTTTGTTTGTTAGTTTAGTATATAAGCCCAAGTTTAATTGCAAAGTATTGTCATACTTATACCTGCATACCGAGCAATTCTCCCGTGTTCCTGACTGCTTTCCTGTGTATGACCCGTTTTCTTTTTATGACCTTGATTCTAGCTGTACCCTTTTGTTCTGTGTTGGTTTTTGACTTTCTGCATTTGTTTATTGACTGTGATTGTGGACAACCCCTTTGGCATTAAAGATCTTAACTCAAGTCTCTGCTGCGAGCGTCTGGTTCTGTCT